GACAGAGCCCCATGAGGTGTCACCGGTGTATTTACATGGAAAAGAACTCCGCAGACCTTTGCCAGGGCTGTTAATTCTCCAGGGCTGCCTGACCCGAGGGAGTTCCCATTTACCCACCTACAAACGAGAAGGGTAGCGAAGCCGGTCCAAGTTGTGCACAGGCACAGGGCACAGCAGCAGTAACCAGGCAGGAGGGTTCCTGCTCATGGGGAACCTTTTCTCTGCCAACGGGCATTTGGATGTTTATCACATCATTCGAGGGCCATACAAATTATCAACTTAAAATTAGCCTGCGATATTTGGTCAAACATTTAATGAACTCATCCCTAATGCCTCGGCAGGGCCAGGCCAAGTGATTTTGTGGCCTTATCGGCCCGCGGGCCAGATGTTCCCCACCCCTGGGTTACAGTCAGTGGGGAAGAGATCATCGCACTGAACACAGTAGAGCTGACCGTTAACAGAGATCCCAGGTCTGAAATGAGCATGACCATGAGTTTTAAAGACTGCACCAAAAAATGAATTTCTAAATTGTTTCTCTGCGGAGGAACTTAATACTAAACGGTAAAATCCAACACTCTGTTCTGCAAGGATTAACTAGCTGGTCAGCATGGTCAGCATTTACCATAGTCAGGACACTCCGGGGACAGGTCTACCAAAAGCCATTCCTTAAGACAGAAACAACGCCAATAATGCGAGGGTTTGAGAGTAGTCACGTCAGAAGCCTTTCATCTCCAGGAAAGGTTTGTACATGTGTTACTGAGAAGAGCTGGACACAAGTAGTCCGGAGGCTTTAGGATGTAACTATGAAAAAGCTCTACCTGAATAAACTGTATTCTAACTGATCTAAATAACTACGAGTTCATAAAAGCCAGGGCCTATAAGAAGCTCAGAAGAAGTGGGGCAAAGGAAGTAAGGTTAAGCGGACTGAGCCCAGCTCTCTGTCTGGAAAGGAGCCAGGTGGGTGGTTAGGGCTGCACGCTGCAGTGGGAGGAGCACGGGCGTGGCCAGGGCTACCTGCTGAATCCATTTAAAAGGCCAGACCGCTTCTGGAGTTGTGGGTTGAAGGCAGATGTGGAATTGAATCCTAGCTCTGCTATTTGGTAAGTGACAGCCCCTCTGGACTTCAGTTTCGTCTCTGGAAAACAAAACAAAGCAAAACACTCTGAAATGTAGGTAATGTGAAAACAGCTGTGTGATACCTGGGGAGTGAGCGGTAAGTGTCCTGCCCCCTCCCTGTGCAGTCAGAGTCCTAGTGTAGAAAGGGTGATCCGCTTCACCAGTGTGATGCGTCACACCGTCGCCTCTAACCACCTCTGACCAGTCTGTGAGTGTCTGCACTTTCCCTCCTGGAGGAGCCCGGCCTGCCTGTCCAGGCTTATTGATGCTGCTGGAGAGACCTCGGCTAAAAAGTTGGCAACATGGCTTATCAGGGAGCGCACCGAGTTTGCTTAGCCTGACCTTTAAGATATATCTAATTTTGGACAAATGGATAAAATTATGTTTCTAAACTTACAAAGCTGAAGACTACTTTCAAATACTTCCCATCTGTGAATCTCTTCTCCAAGTTACATATTCAGGTAGTTCTGGGGTCAGGGAGATTTTAAAGCTTGACCCAGTGTGCGCTACTACAGAAATGACGTCAGCCGGCAGAACTGGAAAGACGCACACTGCTTGCTGCTCTTCAGTATCTATTGTTTCCTTTGTCTTTATGAGCAAAACCAAGATGATGTTGTTCAGGACAGCAATATGCCTGGCTAAAAACTGTTTTGAAGCTAGAGATGGTCGTGTGATATAGTTCTTGCTAATAAGTGGAAGTCTACTTGTGGTTTCTGGAAAAGTTTGTTTTCTTGCCCTAAGTAGGCACGTACTAACCCTTTCTCCTGTCTTTTCTTCCCATTTCCTTTCTGGAATGTGGATGTAACAGCTGGAGCCGCAGCAGCCATTTCCAGGCCGTGGGGGAAAGGCCAGGATAATTATGTATCTGTTGATATTCCAGAAACTGCCTACTTCTAAACCTGTTTTTTGTTTTTTCTAAAGGAAAGAAATCTCTAATTTGTGTAAGCTCATTTGGTCGGTTTTTGGTTACTTGCAATCAAATGCAATTTCCAATGGACATATTAACATTTAAATTAGCTTAAAAATATTATGCAGGTCAATGCATAATGTTATTTACATTTTCCTCCACCATCACAAGGTATCTTGGATATTTCTGAATTATGTAAAATGGGAACACATTCTCTTGCAGTCAAGGTATCTATGATCAGAGGATAGCTCTGGTGAGCTGTTCTTTTGAATTTCTTGTATTCATCACATTGCACTTAGATAATTAGTCATTTTAAAACCAAGCGCTCTGTCCTGGCCAGGGGGCTTAGTTGGTTGGAGCATTGTCCTGTACACCAAAAGGTTGTGGGCTCAATTCCTGGTCAGGGCACATGCCTAGGTTGCAGGTTCCATCACTGGTTGGGGTGAGTGCGGGAGGCAACCGATCAATATTTCTCTCTCATATCGATGTTTTCTTTCTCTCTCTCTTCCTTCCTCTCTCTCAAATCGATGAAAAACATATCTTCGGGTGAGGATTAAAAACAAAAAAAAGCCTAAGGGATCTAGCAGGGTATCGGGAACCACAGATGTAAACACCTGATTTTTTTTCTCAATAGCTGTTTCTCTCCAAAAGTCTTAATTCATAAATATTTCTACTAATGACACCTACCAAAGTTTTGGAGACAGAATGTTTCTAATCCTGCAGGGCTCAGGACTGTACTAAGGTACTAACTATTCTTTTAGAAAATAGCACTTAGTTAAGTTTTACAAATTATTCCATCACAATTTGTTTCCTCTTCTGTAGCACAGAGTGCCTGTAACAGGGAAACACCTGGTGGCCCCCAGCTTGCATGTGCGAGGGGCACAGCTTGACCAGTTCTTGCTGATGAGTGAGTGGCAGGCATACGTTGGACTTCCAGGCCTGCCCAACTCACACAATCCTCCCCCGGGGGCCCTCCACCCGCTTTCCCCTTTCCAGCCGGGGGATGGAGAGGATCCCCAGGATGACCTCGGAAGCTACGAATGAATGGATTACAGAACCTCCGTCCTTCCGGGTTCCTGGAATTGGAGGGAGGAGAGCTGCCCTGCTGAGCTCTTCTCCAGCCCAGACTATTAGACTAGAAATGACGGAGCCCTTTGTTGGGGTGTATATGTTACAATACTCAGTTATGTAGTGGGGGTGAGGAGGCCCGTTGTATTTATTCACTCGTTTGACATGTGAATGCCTCCACGTGCCACCGGGCTCCGGGGCCTTGCCATGCTTTGGAACCAGCGTGGCCCCAGCCAACGGCCAGTCCCATTCCGTGACGGGGGAGCCAGGGCCTAGAGGGTGGGGACATGTTTACTCGGAGGGAGCTTCCGGGGGCTGTAATCCGAGGCCTGCATTTGCCTCCCAGTTTCCATTTCCTAGCTGCATTCTCTCCGGGAGAGGATCTTGCTCCAGCTTTCCCCTCTCCCATCTCTGCCGCCTGCAGATGGTGGCTAATCACCTCCAGCTGTACTGGCTCCTGCTCTGCTGACCGCCCTGCCTGTGCTGTGACAGGAAAACAAGGCCTCAGGACTCCAACTCACTCAAAACAGGTTTCCAAATATGTTTTTTTTTAAGATTTTAAAAATCGATTTTTAGACAGGGAGAGGGAGAGCGAGTGTTTAGAGCAGAGGTTCTCCACCTTCCTAATGCCGCGACCCTTTAATACAGTTCCTCATGTTGTGGTGACCCCCAACCATAAAATTATTTTTGTTGCTACTTCATAACTGTAATTTTGCTACTGTTATGACTCGTAATGTAAATATCTGATATGCAGGATGTATTTTCATTGTTACAAATTGAACATAATTAAAGCATAGTGATTAATCACAAAAACAATATGTAATTATATATGTGTTTTCCGATGGTCTTAGGTGACCCCGGTGAAAGGGTCGTTTGACCCCCAAAGGGGTTTCGACCCACAGGTTGAGAACCGCTGGTTTAGAGAAACATCGATGCGAGAAACTTGGATTGGCTGCTTCCTGCAAACCCCCTACCAGAGTGAGCCCCAAGCCCAGGCATGTGCCGATTGGGAATTGTACCGGTGAAGGGATGACACACCCAACCAACCGAGCCACACTGGCCAGGGCTCCAAGTATCTTTTAAAGCCATAGAAACCTTTAAAATGAAACCTTCAGCTATAACCCACGTTATAAAAACTGTCCTAATGCGATGGATGTGGTGGTGGTGATGCTCCTTTTGGCAGATTTGAAGCCTCTTCTGAGGTAGGGTTCAAACCTGCTCCCTGGTGAGCAGACAGCACTGGGGGCTTTGTGCATTGACTGACATCGTCATCTGCCCTCATGGAGCCTCGGATACAAAGGCACAGGCCCCAGCAAACTGACGCGCTGGGGTGTGAGCAGAAATTTGAGTTAACTAGCTCAGGATTGGTCCGTCCTCTGAGGAGGAACCAAACAGCTTCCTGGGCCCTGGGAGGCAGCGCCACTCCCGCTGAGGGGAAGAGCCCATCAGAATTAGGAGGTAGCAACGCCTGTTCCATAATGAAAATCTCTTCCCCTCCAGGCAAAAACAATGATAAATCTCCCAGGTATGTGACAGTGTCATCTTTCATGACTCCTTGTCATCTGAGATATTCTGAGCTTTCCCACAACTAGAACTTGAAAATATTCTGATTTAGGCTCCATCAGTCGGCATTACCCACAGGGAGGCAACAGGAAGGGAGCCTGAATTCCTCAGCTCCTGTCAGTCAGTACCTGCCCCTCACGTCAGACCTTGCTGAAGATCCACCGGGTTCCTGACAGCACTCCGGGTCCCTGTGGCTGGCACCACCCGGCTTAAATGGGGGAGATGGAAATCTGGGGTCCAGAAGGCCTTGCCTTCTCAGGGGCCTGGGTATTGTTAAAGAAATAACACACTAAAAAGAAAATGACCCCCCCTCCACACACACTGAAGATGTTTAATTTGCACACACTTTTGGCTTGTTCATGTTTTAAGGTGTATTTTTATTTACAAAGTGAGATGATGCATAACAAAGAGGAGATGCAGTTACAAACATATCTGCTCACTCCATTTTTCATGAAAAAGTATATAAATATATTACAGTAAATTCTATATAGTAAACATTAGACATTGATACAGTAAACATTTGCTACTTTTTCTATGCCAACACTACTGCCATTTAAAGCTTAAATACTGGTTTTAAGTATCCCCTATAAAATCACTACTTTATTAAAATACTGGGAAAGAACTTTTCTATAAACAAGATTGGTACATTAACAATAAGACTCAATGTATCCTTGTAAGGAGGTCCACCATAATCAAATGCTGCCTCAATGGTCCCTAAGAGCTGCATTATCCAGTTAGTGTTAAAATTTTAAAAAATAATCATCATGGGTTAAAGCAGCTGTAAAAATACAGCATTTCAACATTATTTACTGTTATGAAGAAAGCCTTTCTAAGGTAGAGGAGAACGAGCAACATGATATTGTGTGGACTCGCTGCCCTGTGGTCTCCGTTGTTAATGGATAACAGGAGCGTCTGCTGGGAGTTAAGGCGAGAACCGGAAAGGCACCCAGAAGGCTGCTCTTTTCGGGTCACTTCAGAGGCTGCGGCTGCTCTTTTTGTTCTTCTTCAGCTTGAAGACGTGTCAGGACATAAAGGATGACTTGGTAGCAGAAAATATATTGATCCTATGGGGGTGGGGAAAGAGAGAGAGACTTTAGATGCATACTGTGAATGTTTTATAAATATAGCTTCACCACTATTTGATATTTGAGTAGTTTTAAAAATACAGAAAATATTTAATGTGAGAAGAAGGATGTAGAATTGTGCAGTGTCATAAAAATAATGAGAAACAGAAGCCAGATTGATAAAAATGCGAAGGGAAGGGCCCTGTGGTGGGGGCAGGGATAGAAATGTCCCCGAGTGCTAACGGAAACTGTCTCCGGTGGGTGGACTACTTCCATTTCTTGTGATTTGCTTTTATAATGAAAAAAAGAAAAAAGAAAAAAAGAAAACCTTCCTCCAAAATTTCTTCTAGATTTATTGAATTCATCTTGATGTTTTGAAATGTCAAGAAACTAATACCAAGGAAGCTACATAAAATACTTTTCTTTAAATCAGTGGTTCTCAACTTTCCTAATGCCGTGACCCTTTAATACAGTTCCTCATGTTGTGGTGACCCCCAATTTCATTGTTACAAACTGAACATAATTAAAGCATAGTGATTAATCACAAAAACAATATGTAATTATATATGTGTTTTCCGATGGTCTTAGGCGACCCCTGTGAAAGGGTCGTTCGACCCCCAAAAGGGTCGCAACCCACAGGTTGAGAACCGCTGCTTTAAATATTTGGAACAGAAGAATATGGAAATCAATGTTTTCTGAATATTAACATTTTTGGTGAAATTATTCTCTATTAAGCTGATGGTGTGGGGTTTGAGTTTTCTTATTTGACAAGGAATTAATGTGTCTGAAAATAAGCTGAACAATTCACAATATACTAAATGGAAAGTATCCTATCTAATAATAGACAAACATGGTAATTGACCGTACCTTTGCTACACTTCCCATTGGCTAATCAGGGCGATATGCAAATTAACTGCCAACAAAGATGGCGGTTAATTTGCATATGTAGGCGCAATGCTGGAAGGCGAAAGGGGAAGGACAGAAGAAGCTGCCTGCCGCTGACGGTGATTGGAAACCCAGGCGGCAGGCAAGAGGCCCCCCGGCCCGTGATCAGAGAACTGGGGCCGCCTTTGCCCTGCCCCCCGGCCCGTGATCAGAGAACTGGGGCCGCCTTTGCC